GTATTAGCATCTAGCAAGGAGGACCTAGAGCTTTAAATAAAATGGAAGCGGTACTGACAGATCAGTACTGTATGAAAATAAATAAAAATAAAACTAAAGTACTGGCATGCAAGGGAAGAAAAAGTAGGGAAAGAGCGAATATAGTAGTTAGTATTAGCAATTTCTTATGCTGAAGTGTACGATGTGTTGCATACCTATTTACAAACAATTCCTTTAAATTTAATTTTTCAAACAATTTTTGACACAAACAAAGTGATTAAACAAATTGTTCACAAAAGTGAATTTCGACCACTCGAAACAATGGTGTTAACAGCTTCGAGCTCACAGTGAGTGATGTATGTTAGTATAAAAGATTTTAATTCTTGTCATACGTACTAGACACTATAGATGCCTTTATTTAGTATTTAGACAATAAGTTATTAAACATTCAAACTAATTTGAAAGTTGTATCTCTTCGAAAGAAGAAAAGCAATACACTTTAAAATTGGAATTTCTCAAAACTAAATGTTTATATTACAAAGAAACAATTAATTTTATTCATAAATATTCACTATAATTCTAACATCCTCTTTTTTCTGTTTCAGGTATGAATTATTTTCAACAAACGCCCAACTTTGTAAGTAAATGTTTTTGTTAGGGTTATATACCCGAATGATCTAATACAGAGGTGGGGAACCTGCGGACTCAAGACCGCATGAGGTCTTCGTGAGTCTTTTGCGTGGCCTTCATGAAAGCTAGTCCTAGCGTTAATTAATATTTTAAAATATAAATAATCTGAAAGTTAATAACATCAGGTATAAGGTAATCCTTTATAGCATAAAGGTTAGCTAGAGCTTTAGCTAAAGTTATCTCGAACTGATAAAACTATGCAATAACTATGATTTAACAAGTCGCATTTTTAGGTGTGCAGTCTCCTTTATTACTGCCTAAATTAAATGTGACCTCCAATGGTAAAAAGCTTCCCCACCTATGACTATAATGGAGCTCTATTATTGAGATAATTCTGTCTATTTTCGTCAGTCTGTCAGAGACTCCTTACTTTTAGACAAAGTGAGATAATAATACAAGTTTATTTAAAGGCGCACCATACATGAAAACAAAAAACAATTGTTTTTTATAATTTTACCTACGCTTGTAGGACACCGTTTTTGAAGTAATACTTCTTTTAAAGTGTTGAAACTAAAATTGCAACATTTGCCTAATTGTAGTTGCGCACGTGCACTAACGAAAGGTCAACGGTATGAAGTTAGCAACTTAGCTAGTTCAATGCGAGATAAGAACTGGTGGCTCTGATCTTCATAGTCGCCACTGTTGTAGGAATGTGTGGAGGGTTGGGGATGGGGATGACTAGAGGCGCAGGAGTGAAGGTGAAAAATAAAAAATTTGAAACTAAAAAACTAA